GGAATCCAGGTGGTAGCAGCGGTCAGAACTTCCATTATAGGGCTGGAGGAGGCTAAAAACCTCAACTACTGCTGGTGAGCCCTGAGTGTGGCAGAGCTGGCTACAGCTCAGCCCCGGGGGTGGCTCTCTTGTCCATTAATCTACAGTCTTGACAATTTCCGTGTGTGTTGAAGGAAGTCCTGCAGCTGCAGATACTTTAAAATTAATGTAAGAGCCCCAGGAGTTGGTTGGATTGGTACTTCTTCACATACTCTTGGGAATGAAAATCAAAGACTACTGTGTTTCCCATTTGGTGTGGAGAATGACAAAAATGACAGCATACCCCCTACAGAAAGTTCAGAAAGTTCTTACTGCCTGGTGTCATCCTTGACAGTCAATCTTTTGGAAGTTTTTCCATTGGCAACTAAAATACCTCTTAGATTTCTTATTCATTTTTAGGACAAATACACATCTTATGATTTCAGATCTACTTACTTTTTGTATCTTTTTCCTCTTTGAACAAACACGGGAAATGCTTTGTTCTGGGCAGGTCACTTGTTCACTGCACTGAAGTAGACATTAGTGTCGGTGGTTTATCCCATCTCTTCAGTGTACATGGTTGCCTCTGGAAAATGCAAAATGGCTTCCATCTTTAATATTGGAAAATATTAATAAGCTGTGGAAACAAATTACAATTTCTACCTCGTAGAGTCCACGTGATGTTTCCCCAAGTGTCGGCAACTCCCAGTTTCCCGGATTTAATCACTTTCTTGATTTAACTAGAAGTGGTAGCTGGACATTGGCACATTAGGAACACAAATAATGGATCTCTGCTGCTCTTCCTTCAACATGCTTTGCTTCTGGGGAAGCCTGTATCCTATACAAGGATATTGGGGAGAGCAAGAAGGATGACTCTTACTACATTGTTTGCCCAGAAATACCTGGTAAGAAAGCTGGGAAGTAAAGAACATTCAAAAGTGGAGGGCCAGAAACAAAAAAGTAGGGGTAAATAGCAAAGTTCTGTCTTCGTTAAGACACTCAAGGAGCTGGGAAGTGGTTAAGTTTGCATGCCCTGGTTTAATGGCCTTGTGGGAGGTACTTGGGACAAGAAGCCAGCTTTCTGTTAAGATTAAAATAGCTGTTTTCTATTCAGGTCCAGATTAAAAAAAAAAATTGCTGAAAAATTCTGGTAAGATTTCCAAAACTATTAAGATGTAGTTGTACACACTGACCTTATTTTTGCCTTCAGATGCTATCTGTGAGTTATGTCACCAGACATACTGATTTTTCTAAAATTAAATTGTCTCAAAAATATCAGCAAAAAGAACTCTTAATCTGCATTACTAATTTGACCTGATGATTTAAAGATTTTGATATTTTATCAAGATGAGCCTACCTTTTTAGGAGCTTTATAAGCTTATCTCAGAGTGAATGGCTAGGGGAATGCTTCTCTTGTTGCAGGACTGTCATGATCTTTTAAAATACTACAGCTACTTGCCATTAATACCTCTGCTAATAATGGTTTATTTGGCAAAGATATGCAAACAGAAATGCTTCGTTTGTGTCCTTCAGCAGAACTATTGATTAATTCAGGAAGGATTTAGGAGACTTTTTATATTTTTTACAGATTTCTTTCTATATGTTTAAGTCTGAAAATATTCATAATATTTTTTGCAGTGTTGCAATACTAAAAACCTCATAAAAGTTTTAAGAGAAAAGTTTGTTTCAGTTTTGGGTCTCAGTGTGATACATTGTGGTTATCTCTGTGGCATTGCAAGAGGGTACTGATATTCATTGCTCTTTGTGAAAGAGAGGGAGACTAAATTCTAACCTCGACGGCAGTGATAGTGTCCTTTCTGAAAGTTAGTATAATAGAAAAAAAAATCTGTATTGTGGTTATGGGCCAGAACAAGCCTCCTACTTACACCTCAAGGTTTTTACCAGCATTTAAACTGTAAAACTTTCTGCTTTCCTGCTTACATAACTATTCTCTTTCTTTTCTTCCAGACCTGCATTTTATTTCCTGGAACAAAATAACATTTTAGGGTGCTATTAATTTTCAGATTAAACAAGTCATAAAATGTAAATAAGCTTACAAAAGAGCATTTACCTTCTTTTCACAAAGTTGTTAGTATTAGGATTTCTGGATCTTCCTCCCATCGTAATTCACTTCTTCCTCTTGGGTGCCTTACAATTAAGGCACTGTTATAGTTGTTATACTGGAGCAGGTTGCACAGAGAATGATTGATACTTTAGAATAGAAGGAAGTATAACTTCTTTCTTTAGCCTTAGGCTGAAAGACAAGCACTAATATTTTGGGGTGGTTTTTTGGCTTGTAGATCTTGGACTTGGCATCTTTTGTTCCCATTTGAATAATCAATTCCACATCAAAAACCTTGCATAACTGTGGAATTGTGATGACTGGACTGTGTAGCTCACCAGCGTTTATGTTTTAAAAGAAATAATAAGGTTTTCCATTCTTCTAAATTCATTCCCCCCTCCCCCTGCCCCTTAGCTGTATTCTGAACAAAAATGCACCATGGCAGTCCATTTGTTCATCACCTCCCTTCTTTATACATGAGAATGTTCATGACCCTCCATGTACTTTTGTACTGGCTATTCCAGTTGATCCTTCCTCATCTTCAAGCAGTGACAACAGGGAGTGAGCTGGTTTGGAGTCAGTATTTCAACTTAGTGATCTGAAACAAATAATCTTTTCACAGAAGTTGATGCTGAAGAGCTTGGGATGCTGGAAGGGGAAAGCTGTGTAGCCCAGGACAGTGAGGGAGGGATGCTGGGCATCGGGGGTATCCCTTGCACATGTAAGATACCAGGAGTCAAGCTAGTCCCCTGCACCAAGAAACCCATTCCCAGTACCTTTCCTCTCTGGATAATTCCAAATATTCCCCTATTCCCTTACAGCACTCCTGCTTTTAAACATGTCAATATGTAAGGAAGGTGCAACAGCATCAACTGTGAAGGGCAGGCAGGGCTGAAGGGAGCTTGCTGGTTCAGCCAGGGAGATGTGCAGGAATGGGGAGGGGGAAATCAGTGACATATTGGAATTTTCACATTCCCTTAGAAAAAAGAAAGCCCCTGAGACCTGAGAGGAGACTACAAAGGGCATCCATTTCATTTCATATTTCTCACCAATACCTGTGATAGGGCAACCTCAGATATCTGATTGGGAAAACACATATTCAAGTCAGCACATGGGAAGTGTTTGTTGTCAGCTTGCACAGTGAGAATTTAAACCAAAATAGCAAAAAAGTCATTCTCTTGGAAGTGATGCTTCAAAGTAGCAGAAGGTATTCTACTATTATTTCTGTTCTTTGTAAACTTTGTTTTTATGGGATTTGCAGTCCAAATGTTATTTGCACGCACTGGATGTCTCCTTAAAAGTTGTTAAAAGAATTAAAAGCTGAGGAGTTATCTTTTTCTCAAAAGAATGTCCCTTATACAGCTAAAGGAATTCCAACACAAATTTCAGTTTGTTTTTTAGCTTTGTAATGTGCCAAAGGTACCTTTTGACTTCTCTAGGCTTAATCTTTCTCTCTCTCCTAGGAGCTGATGCAGCAGAACGATATTGGCTACGTACTGAATGCCAGCAATACTTGTCCGAAGCCTGATTTTATTCCAGAATCCCATTTCCTCAGAGTGCCTGTGAACGACAGCTTTTGTGAGAAAATTTTGCCTTGGTTGGATAAATCAGTCGATTTTATAGGTGAGAAGAAAATTTAAATTCTTTCTCAGTTTTTTGATTCCTCTGTGTGTCTGCCTTGCTGTTACGGTTGGAGAAGCCCTGAATGCTTTCTGGGTGGTATGAAAATACCCTCGGGATCTGTGTACATGATCAGCATCTCTTTATAAGCACAGAAGCAAAATAACACAGCAAAGTAACATTCTGCCACTGCATGTTCCAGCATGACAGAACAAAAACACTTAAGAGCACAACTCTGCTTTCAGGCAGCCTGGTAGAATCCCAATATATGTCTGCAGAGAGTGAATTAGAAATTTGGACATACAGCTTCTGTCCTGACCTGTGAGAAGTGAGCTAGCCAAATTTGAACTGGCCAAATTGTTCCATTATGAATGCTTGCTTGTTACTTGTATATAAAATTAGAAACAATTACCTTTCCCAGACATCTAAATAGGGTGGTTTATGTGCACATTAAATTGAGGTATACTGTAACTGTGGTATGTTTCCTGTGTGTGTTATGCTTTTTCTATACTTAGTGCTGTACAGTGCTGGAGAAAAGAAGTGATTTTTTTGTTAAAAGCTTCCATGAGATTTGTAATTAGCAGTTAATTTGGAAGTTTTGAATAATTTTAAATAACATTGCTTTCTTTGCAAACTTTTCATCATGGTAAAATGCTGCCGACTTTGACTCTTGCCAATTTCTTTGCTATGTAGAAAAAGCAAAAGCATCAAATGGCCATGTGTTAGTGCACTGTTTAGCTGGGATATCTCGCTCTGCCACAATTGCTATTGCCTATATCATGAAGAGAATGGATATGTCCTTAGATGAAGCTTACAGGTAAGAAGAAATTTCCTTTCCATACTAATTCTTGTCCCTGTGTGCTTATCTTACAGTGAATGATAAAATGTTATAGGACCAAGGGTAGAAGCAGACATTTTACCTGGTAGTTCACTGTCCTCTGCACACTCTTGTTTGAAGCATAAGACTTCCTCCAGAAAAAAATTAATGGTGTTGAATAGACATCACACAGCTCATATTAACTGCCCACCCACAAAAAGGACTTTGCTCCAAGTAGGCAAATACATGGAATGTAAACTGCCTATTAAATGTATGTATATTCTCCTGGTTCCAGCCAGGAAAGGGTGGGAGCTTGTGCAAGCTGATGTTCCAGGTTATCATGTCAGCTCGACTATTCCTTAGCACTGTTGGCTCTTTCACAAATTAAAAAAAAGCACTAATAAAAAATGCAAGTTTTGTTTGACATTTTTCATGTGCTTGCCTGCATTTGTGCTAGTATATACACATATACACAAGTACACCTTTCCATTTTTCTCACACTGGTTTTAATGACTGCACACTCATCTTCTGTACACTTCCCCAGAGAGATTATATTTTTAATAATATTTAATTTTCCCAGTGACATATGTGTGTTTGTACTACATTTAGCTCCTCAAGGTTTCTTCCCTTGTTAATTCTTTTGTCCAGGAATGTTTCTTTAAAAAAACCCCAAAACCAGAGGAGGAGGGATTTGGGCAGCTTTCTGCTTTGCAGCCTGTAAAAGCAGAGTATTTATTTAGCTATGTTGCAAATCAGACAGGTAGGAAGTATGCTTTTGTATTTAACTTTGAAGTATATGACATGATTTCTATTACTTAGGTCTTTCATACATTTAGAATTCTGGTTCAGCAAAACATTTTCAGTATCATTGCACCTTCTCCATATTCAACCCAGTACATGACTGTGTGCTTGGATTGGCACACCTGCGCCAGTCAGGCTGCTTCCTACAGGACCCAAAAAATAGGTGAATTTTTCTAGGGATTTTGCTTTCCTGTTGCCCTTTACTGTTGAACACCTACAGGACTTGAGAGAATGTTCTTTGTTTTAATGCTGCATTTGCACCTTTCTGTTTTTCTTTTTAATTATCATATCAGTGGTCAATACCAGCGTGGGGTAGGAATTGCTGGAACTTGCTGGATAAGGTCAAAATCTATCATGGCTCTTTGTCTTGCCTGACAATGATAAACAGGGTAGGAAGTGCTCACTGCAGTAACAACAGCATGAGAGAGGTGAAAGGAATATGTGATGTCATCCCTTGGAATGATGCGGAAGGTGTCCACTCTCTGTAGCACATGGGAGACAGTCTCTTGGCTAAAGCTCACATGTTGTTCATGCAAAACTTGAGGAGCTCTTAACTCCAGTCAGAAACCAAGGTAGCAAAGATCCCACTGATGAAGTAAATAAGGAAAATGATGCACTCAAATCATTTGTGGACATCCTGAAGAGTTAAAAAAATGCTTTCTTCCCCACCCACTTTTTAGCCACCTTTAAGTAGCTATAGAGACAATTGACAGCATCCAGCATTATTTTGCTTAAAACTGCCTTTTTTTAACTCCATCCTCAAGTTACTTGTGCTTGACTGAACCCTAGTCCAAGCTAAGTTAAGAACAGGCTGTAGACATTCACAACATTCGCTTGAGGGTTATCTTAGGTCTGAGCAGCAGGTTCTTTAAGTAATTCTTGGTTTTTTGTCCCTTCTTACCAGATTTGTGAAAGAAAAGAGGCCGACTATTTCTCCCAACTTCAATTTCCTGGGCCAGCTTTTGGACTTTGAGAAAAAGATAAAAAACCAGACCGGTCAACCTGGACATATTAGTAAGTTGAAACTTCTGCATTTGGAAAAAAGCAGCGAGCACGTGCAGGTCCCAGAAGGAGGGCAGAGCAGCCTCTCCATGAAGCAGCTCTGCATCACTGCTACCTCCGAGATTGTGGAACAGAAACCCACGGACTGTGGCAGTGCCCCACGCGGGCACCTGTCCCCTCTGGAAGATGGCCCACTGGTGCAGGGCATAAATGGACTGCACGTCTCCCTGGATAAGGTGGAAGACAGCAACCGGCTGAAGCGCTCTTTTTCTTTGGACATCAAATCTGTGTCCTACTCATCAAGCAGCAACTGTGTGACTGCGTCGGTTCAGGGCTTTGCCTCCTCTGAAGACACCCTGGAATACTACAAACATGCAACTGCTTTAGAGGGTAGCAGCAAGTTGTGTCAGTTCTCACCTGTCCAGGAAGTGTCGGAGCAGACCCCAGAAACCAGCCCTGACAAAGAGGAAGCAAACCCTCCCAAAAAATCCCAGAACACGTGGCAGCTGGACAGCCAGGGCAAATGGCAACATCTTGGGAGAGCCAGTGGCAGTGCCACCACTCAGCGGTCGCTCCTGTACCCCCTCCACCGGAGTGGGAGCATGGAAGACAACTACCGAACAAACTTCTTGTTTGGTCTCTCCACCAGCCAGCAGCATTTGGCAAAGTCTGCTGCTGGGCTGGGCCTCAAAGGCTGGCACTCGGACATCTTGGCTCCTCAGACATCGGCTACATCCCTGACCAACAGCTGGTATTTTGCAGCCGAGTCCTCACATTTCTACTCTGCCTCAGCCATCTACGGGAACAGTGCCGCTTACTCTGCCTACAGCTGCAGCCAGCTGCCCACAGGCTGCGAGCAGGCCTGCGCTGTGCGCAGGAGGGCAAAGCAGGGGGACCGAGGGGACTCCAGGAGGAGCTGGCACGAGGAAAGCTCTTTTGAAAAGCAGTTTAAGCGCAGAAGCTGCCAGATGGAGTTTGGGGAGAGCATCATGTCAGACAATAGATCCAGAGAAGAACTGGGGAAAGTAGGCAGTCAGTCAAGTTTTTCAGGCAGCATGGAAATCATTGAAGTGTCCTGAGGAGCAGCAGGCTTGTGTGACTGTATCAGAGTCGCTTCCCTCTCCAGGCTGCTCCCCCAGCATTTGAGAGATCCCTGTAAATCTGAAACTGTGTGTAAAAAGGTGGGGGGAGGGAAGAACCTTGAGGCTTCAGTGTGAATGCAGCAAAAGGTTAGTGCCGCAAAGAAATGACGGGCAAGCGTCTGCCCGAGGACACCAGATGTACCGCTGGGTTTTTCTCCTCTCCTCTCCTGAAGAAGGGCAGAACACTTCAAAGGTCTTTCCCTGATAGAGGAAGCAATTGTATGCAATGGATTGCACAGCATTTCAGTGGGTTTTATAAAGGAATCTCTCTTGGCATCAACCTTGCTCTGGTTCCACTGAAACACGTTCCTACCTGTCAAAACTAGTTTTGTTCTCCCCTCCTCATGCCCCATATGTTCACCAGTGCACCTTAGCCCTGACACTGAGCCAACCTCTGGAGGGAGACCTTTTTTCTGTAAGAAAGGAGACTGGGAGCAATTCCAAAGGACATAGGGACTGGTTACAGCAAAGCTTGTCTGAACACACATTTCAGACAAATGTAAATACTGGTGTAACTATTGTTCTAATGGATAGGCTTTAAGTGATTTGCTAGAGAGCTGCTTCAGAGAAAAAAAAAAACAGTACCTCAAAAATATAAAAAACAAACTAGGGCTTTATGGCTGCCACATGCTGGTAGTCAGTTCATCAGCAATGTGAACAAGTAACAACTAGCCACATTTGATTTTTTTTTTTAAAGCTGTCTACACACAAGTGTTTCAATTGGTTCAGCAGCAATGCCTAAAAGAAGATGAATGAACCATACTTAGGACTGTTTCCCCCAGTCTTTTGATACATAATTCGTATTTTTTATATTAAGCTGGCTTCTGGGAGAGGGGTAGTTGCTTTGGCTTCTAAGCTGTAATGGAGTGGTTGATAGGTAGGGTTACAAGTGGCTGCTACAAGTGGCCACAACATGCTTTTCTTGCCAGTTAATAATTCAATAGGAGGCTCTTGAAGGCTTTTTTGGTTTGGGGTTTTTTGTTTTGTTTTTGTTTTGTTTTGTTTGGGGTTTTTTTGTGGTTTTTAAGATAAAAATGGGGTAGGCTTTTATCCTTAACTGAGAAGTACCACTGAGGAACTGCTCTTCATTTATGGTCCCAGTCCTACATGGGGTGGGGGCAATGCAGGTAGCTGGGTTTTATTCCATTCCAACATGGATTGAGACTGGCTTCTCATTAGTTTTGCTGACTTCATCAGATAAAGGGAAGTCTGGCTGGCTGCCCAAGGAAAACAGAAGGGGGCTCCAGTGTCCCATCTCATAGTGTGTGTGAAGGAAAGGGGGTTTGAGAAGGGACAGCTTTCCATTAAGGGAAGCCACTCCCCTCCCACACTCACAGCTTCAGAGGAACTCGATCCTGGCCATTGTTCTCTGTCCCAGTGTAGGGTCTTGGTTTCCCAGCATGCTGATGTGTGATTTGTCTGCAGCCGCTCAAGGCTGTACCGTGTCCTCCCTCATCACTCCAGAGAAGATGCCAACGTGAGGAGGTGCCACATCCCTGCTGCCAAGGGGGTGTTTCACTGAAGATTAGGCACAGTCCTTCTCATGTTGTTTTTGACAGCAACCCAGCTGCTTCCCCTCCAGCTCCCATTCCTGCGGTAGCTGGGCTGCCCTGCTCACGTTGGTTCACGTGCCTGCGTTGCTGCAAGAGATTTGTGGTCAGTGAGGGGTGGTACCAGAGGCACTGTGTAAAGCTTCATCCTTCATGCTCTGAGGGAAACTGCACATGTCTTACCTCGGTCTTTCCCAGCTTCCCCTCGGAAAATGTGTATTGAGGGGAAACTATATTTTTTTTGTCCCATTTCAGTGCAGGCAGCTGAAAATTGTACATCACATGTAACAAACACTTAAACCCTGGCCAACAGCTTTAAAAAAAAATTTGTCAGCAGCAACCTGAAGCCCTAATTCAAGTGAGCAGCTTGGATTATTTTAGGGGTTTTTTACTGTAAGTTTAGCTAGTTTGTGACTCAAATCTCAGGTTTTACTATATTGAAAAGTGGAGAAGATTTTGTCATTGATATGTTTTGTGGCTAGGATGTGACTTTAATTTCCTACGGTGGACTGTTGAAAATAGCACTGAAAGCTACAGCATTGATTAACTTGATCCTAAAAAGTGCAAAAGGCGCAGAGAGAGACAGCACCAGGAGGCTCTGTTTGGGCTGTGCGTACGAGATATTGGAAGAAGAGGTAGCCCAAGCAAGGGACAAGTTGACATCACACATATCAGGTGTTCATTAAACATACTGGCACTTGTCTCTGTTTATGTATCAGGTGAAAACAATTACATTACAACTTTTCAGCATATATATACACATACTCTGTGTGTATATACCTATGTAAACAGTTTAACAGTGCTTCCTCCAGGAAAAGCCCATGTCTGTAATTTAAACCAGTTAATGGGGGTTAACACATATCAATCCCTGAAGACAGAAACAGATTCTTCCTATCTTTTGTGCTCCTTCAGACATGTGTGTTCCCCCCTTCTCTATGTTTGGGGTTTGGGTCTTCTCCTGTATTTGGGGTTTGTTTGCTTGATTGCCCTCTGAGGAACTGAAATCTGGTCTTGTGGCTCCTTGTGATTTCCAGTACACTCTAGTCCCTGAATGAATCAAAGCTGTAGGCTTGGTATTTTCAGGGGATAAGTCCCCATAGGAGGAAGCCTTAACCCCATGTCCCACACAGGGTGGTGCCCTGGCTCGTATCTGAACTAGAGTCCTGTCCCTGAACAATACTGGAAATGGTTTGTAGAAGTCTGGAAGGCAAAGTGGAGGATGTGAGAGGGGAAATGTGTACATGTTCAATATGAATATAATCTATGGCCATTGGTGTATGGCATACTTGGCATATTTGGTTTATGGCAAGCTATTCAAATGGTTCAGAGATGTGAGTTTCTCATCTTGTTGTGTCATGAGAATTACCTGTATGTATGATGAAATAAAATCAGAAATGGTACCTGTTTATATGAAGGGCTGAGGAAGGAGCTGTGGAGTGTGCATTACCTGCCTGCAGTACAACCTGCTCCTGAGTAGGCAGGACGAGCAGGGGGCTTGTCCTTTATCATACATACCCTTCTCTGCAGCTGTGCCTGCTCATGAATTACATGGCTTGAGCAGCTTGTAACAAGCAGCCACGATTTTATAGCACCAGTAACCATTTAGGCCTCTTACCTGTTCCTGAATACCCCACCTCTTCTGCTCCCTTGAAGAGCAACAGTGGCACTTCTCTGCATTTAACACATTAACAATGTCTAATACAGTTGTGAGTAACCTGTTCCTCAGGTAGCTGTGTTAGTCTTGTTGAAGCAAGTATTTCAAATGGATTAAGTTACCTAGAATGATCCCCCTGGTTTGTTTGTTTTTTTTGCCTCCCATACTTCTTATTTGAAGATTAATGTAATTACTTGTTTAAATACTTGTTTTGACTGATTCTGTCAGTCTTGAAGCATGCAGAGCAAGTTCTGCTTGCTGAGATTGGAGTACGCCCCTCATTGCTGCTTCAGAGAATAGCTCATACAAACTACAATGTTTGTGTAACAGCATCTTCAAACTCAGGTGCAGTAGCAGAAGGTTTTTCTTTTCTTAAAAAGAGAATTTCAAAGCATAATCCTAGAGAGGGAAATGCAGAATTCTTAGCCTCCCTAAAAGAAACCAAACCATCAGCCAGAGCACAAGTAACAACCTATGTGAGTTTCTGTGCTTATTTTCTACAAACAAGATGTAGCAACTCTTACACAGAAACCTGCATCAGATAGAGTCCATCCATCACCACCTCAGACCTGCCCTGGCTTTGGGGACTGCTGGGTGAGCAGTTCTCCTTCACAGAATCAGAATCACAGAATACTGAGTTGGAAGGGACCCACAAGAGGTGAATGGCCCATACAGGGATCAAACCCACAACTTTGTCATTATTAGCACCACTTTCTAACCAACAGAGCTAATCTCAGGGTTCCTGTGGATCAGGCTGTCCCATGCAGGCTCACGTATTGAAGAAGTTAAAACCTAACTGTGGCAGCTAAAAGCAAGCCAACAGCCCCCACAGAAGGATCACAGACCAGCTGAAAGAGGCCAAACTTGCGCTAAAAGCAGAGTCTCACCCATTCAGTGAAGTGCAAGGAACTGGGAGGAGGAGATGAGCAGCCAGCAGGGCAGAGGCCAGCCTGGAAGTCAGCCTGTCCAAGGATGCCCAGCTCCAGCTCCTTCTGTGATCTGGCGAAGAACTGATGTAAAGCATCTGTCAGGACATGGTCTCTATTTGACAGGAAGATATGTGTGGGAGGAAAGAATAAAAGAAACAGGATATACTCTGCTGCTCATGTTTAATCTGCCCACTCAGGCTTGGGAAAGCCGCTGGGTGCACACAAGGTGCAAGTGCCCTAACAAAACAGGCAGTGGTCTCACACTGCCAGTGCTTTGCACAGGGAAACTGCAGTCTTACACAAGTCTTGAGTCCTTGATCCCAGATCCTCATCACCTCCACAAGGCTGCCAGCACAGAAAAGGTAGGCAGCCAGCTGAACTATAGTCCCACCCCACTGCTGGTGAGTCCCAAGCATTGCTGCTCATATCACGTATTTAAACTGGACATCAGTGCCAACCAGAATCGGGGTGGTACTGGAAGAAAACTCAACATTTATTTTCACTCTGGGATACGTTTCCTTACAGTCCCAGGGCAGAGGCAGCCCCAGGGCAAGTGAGACCAGCCATGTCCACAGCACGAAGGTGGGTTCTGGGTACAAAGCAAAGCTCAGCACTGTCCACATAGGTCACGGCAATAAGTGGTGCACTGAAAATGAAGAATAAGCAAGGCAATTGGAGAAACAAAACACTTGGGAAAGAGCCACACCAAACGTTTTACTGCTGGAGCTGTGGAACATGTAAGCATGGAGGGAGCTGAACGGAGAGCAAATGTGCAAACAGGATAACCACTCATAAACCATGGAGCGCTCAGCCACAATGCTGGGAATCAAAATGCATGCTGGCAGCTTGGGAACAACAGGGACAGTACAGTGGTACCTCAGGACACCACTGGCACACAGTCAGAGAGAGGGGCTGGCTCATACAGTGCATGGGCTTGAGAAAAACATGTATTTCTACTCTTTCTGTGTAAAAGCTTAGAGGAGGGAAAAAACACACTTTAAATATTTCAGTATACTTAATTTAAAATGCATTTACTTAAAAAAAAACCCTGAAAAGTCTTTTCTGTCCCCTTCACCAGATCTTCACAGAAATTGCCCTGCAGATAGGTTGGCACTTTAGCACCCTGTCAATGCATTCAATTACAAAAGCAGAACAAAGCAAACCTCTTCTGCACAGGCAGCACACTGACCAGTGTGGGATGCAACAAACACCAGTGGCAGCACAAGGGGAGAGTTGCAACAGCAGTCAGGGGAAGGACCAAAGCAGTTCAGGCCAGCAGGGAACCACAGACTCAGAGACTCACTCTCCTCCCCAGCTTTTCAGAAGATTGCATATCAAGAAGCTTACCTTGTGCCCCAAACCACACACGACTTCAGAAAGCAGAAAAGGGCAGAAATGTCTGGTTTCAGTGGAGCACACCAGATTATTCTCTGTTCATAGCACTAAATTTGTGGTAGAAGTAACAGCTAGCACATTTGTGAAAGATACCTGAGGCCTCCTCCAAGAGCATTTGGCTTGGAAAAGGAAATTCATAAGCAGAAAGGTAATTTCAGTCACATAAATCTCCTGCTAAGCAGCATGGGAGTGAAGCGACAGTCTCACCCTGAGCATCACCTGCACCTGAAGCTGAAAGCAGCGTGTAGAGCAAAGGCAACAAGGAGCAGCCAAGCAACAAACAGCAGCTCAAGAAGATGTGGTATGAGACGTCTTCCCCTCAGCAAGAGGGCCAAAGACTTACAGTTAATGAAGGCCATGACAGTGTTTTAAATAAAGCTGTAAACCATTGCTTGAGAACAGTTAAAGGGTGCATGCTGTCTTACAGTACCCATACAAGTGACTCTCCTGTGGAACGGAGGTGATGACGTATGAGCTTTGGAAGAGGTTCCCCTTCACGTTTCAGCTCTGATTTCTTTCTAGTTAAGCTGGTAGGTCTTTCACAATCTGCCCTTGATGTATGGTAAGCTCTACCTGTGAGGCCCAGCAGCACAGCCAGTGTTCCTAGGAACAAGCATTTTCTCTCATTCTCAGCCCAATGCCCAGGTGTTTTTCAGCAACTGAGGAAGGAACTGATTTGCAGCCCTCGGTCCTGCAGCCTTCAGATGGGAACATAATTCATTTGCCCTCATTAGCACTGCATGGAGCAATGCTTTTATCTGATACTTAATGGTATGAGGCTAGATGTCTAGAAACCTTACAGGAGAGAACATCTCAAGGGCCCTGCCTTAAGATCCAGTATCAGGATCTTCCCACTAGCATAGGCTTCCAGCACACCAGGGTGTGGGATATTAAATGATCCCGTCTGGCAGACAGCTGAATGTTGCACATTTTAAACATCCAGACAGCATCATTTGGACAAACAGGACAAAAATTACTGCAGCTGCTATTTAAAGCAGTTCAATATTCTTGTGTGTCTGATGGCAGAAGGCAGGGACACATTCCATGATGGACAGTGACGACTCGCCTGGCCATGGCCATGATAAGCAGGTTCTCATGGGTTAAGTCTCACACTGTAAGCTTTTAACAAACCAAGTGTAAAATAGGGCAGGAAGCTTGAACAAGGATGTTGTATCCCATGCAACACACAGCATATGCCTATGTACATATTACTCTGTAAAACCTCTGGGGTGGGAGCAGCAGGCAAGGAGGCCTACTCTGCTGCCTTTGCTAAAAAAATCTCCTGCTGAGTTCCTTGGCCTCTCTGAAGCAGTCAATTGCTCTTCCCAGGGCATCATTCTAGGGGGCTTAATTTCTATAGGACTCTGCTTTCAGACAGTGTTCAGCAGGCCCTGTGGTCCAACCACCACTGTGGTTAGATGCACATCAGTTTGCTGCAGTCTGCATCACAAAAATTCACTCTACACTACATGGCCTTTGGGAATGCAACAAGAGAACAGTCTGTTGCTTCTTGCCACCAGGCAATAATTAATATAATCAAAAACCTACTGCATTCTTATTTCCAAATGCTCAGAGACAACCTTTTGCTGATTAAATACTCTTAAGTACCAAGATGTATCAAAGCAAGTTGCCTTTGGCAAGTCACCTAGCCTTGTGCTGTACTGGAGGCTGGTTTGTCCCTGACTCTCAAAGAGGGCCGTCCTCACCACTGCAACTGCACTCCTGACATACAACCACCCTTGGGGTTCATGGGCACTTCAGCCTCCTCACCAGCAACAGCATCCTGGGTCCAACAAAACAGACACAAACCTACCCTGGCCCAGCAAATCAAGGGCTCCTCACTCCTGGTTACATTCTCTTTCTGCTGCGACAAGAGCTGCCATGCACTGGTGATGCAGGCTGTTAAACCCTATTTCGAGATCTATAAATATTTTTACAGCAGCATGTAAAATATCCCTGTTTTACACAGGGGGAAACCAAAGCTCAGAGAGGTGCTGCCAAGTGCCTGCAGCCAGCAGACCAGCAACAGACTTGGCAACTACCCTGTCTCCTGTGGGTCAGCCCAGCAGCCGGGCAGCATGGATATGCTGCCTGCCTTCCAGCAGTGCCCTTGGCTTCCTTGGGAGAAGGCAAGAACATCCTGTTGCCTTTGGAGCAGGTGGTTGAGAACAGTCCCCAAAAGGCCATGTGGTTTCAGTCATGAAACAGTGTGCTTAGGCCAGCTCTCAGCACAATGGCAGCTAAGCCAGTGCAAAGACCCAAAGGACTTATTGTGTCTCTTCACTCCATACACCAGACAGTAAAGAAGCAAGTGCACCTCTCTGGTAGAAAAGACAGCACCAAGATAACTGGAGTGTCCCAATAAAAAAGACACCTCATGTCCAACTTTGGGATGGAAAGTGAGCAGGTTGGTACCAGTGCCTGTCAGAAGAACATGAAATGCCACCACCTGGGGCATGGGGACATTGCCAGGGCAAGGGGGAAAGGAACACTAAAGCTTGCTTAACATTAACTACATACATATCTAGAACAGTTATTCCTTTACAGGCTCATAAATTAGTGAGTCCATACAAACAGGAGCCTCGAGGACATGCCAAAACCCTGCAATGCAAACCATGTTAATTATGATAATAGGCAGATTTTAATAAGCCAGTTCCTGGCTCTTACACTTTCACCTATAAAACACACATATTTCCAAGGCCAGGGGATGTCAGAAATACCTTCCAGCCATCTGATCGTCTAAACCCCAGTGGTACAAAAATCATGTCAGAAGGTTCGTCACACCCTGTATCCCTTTGAATTTTTTTAGTAAAAAACAAAAATTCAGATGAAAGAAAATTCCTCCTCTGTAAACCCCAACAGCAATGAAACAAATGTCTCTGCACAGGCGGTGGTAGTAGTAAAGGAGACAGGAGGCCAAGAGAAGGGAGATGAAAGAAATGTAAATCATCTTCTCCAGACGAAGGACAGGGGAGCTCCTGGATTCCTGGTTGTGCAGTTCTGGCAGCTGATGCCGTTCTTCCTCCGATGCCCTGGCAGAGTCAGGCAGCACTGCCATCTGCTTCAAACATCTGCCAATCCAGCCTGTTGGAAGCGTGTCTGTGCTGAACACTGGAGCATGGAAGATGAGGAGGGGCAGCCTGCCGGGTCAGCTAGGACTTCAGCTCCCGGTCAGGTTTCATGCTGAAGGGCTCCAGCCTCTCGCTCTCCGGCAGCATGCTGTTCAGCCGCTCCATCAGCGGGATCGTCTGGTCGATGCCCATCTGGATACGGCGAAGGATGGCAGACATCTCATTGACCTTCTGGATCTGCTCCGCATACTTGGCATACTTCTTCTGGCGCTCCTGCATGAAGCTGTAAAGAGTTTCCACAGAGAGGTCCATCTGTTTAAAAACAACAAGTAGAGCAAGGCACATGAGGCCAACTGTTGCTGGAGACGTTTCAGCACTCTGTCTTTCCTAAAAGCAACCAAGAACCACCTTAGATGCCCCACTGGAGATACCAGACAGGTAGAAAAGAGCTCCTCGGAAGGTACATAACCAGTTTGTCACTAAATGGGGTTCATAGTTGTACACCAGGGGTGACATATGACAACCTCAGTTCTACACCCAAATACCTAATCAGAAGATTCTTTATTTGCAGGACTGAAAGCCAGCAGGCACTGCCAGGGATTTCCCAATAAACCAATATACATATCCTCCAAGTTACACAAACTCAGGGAATGCATGGCCTCTGCCTACACCTGTAGTATATTTTCACTGGAGATTGTTCATTTGCAAGCATTAAGCTCTGCCATACTTGCCAGTGCTAATTTTCCTTGGTTTAGCCAGGTTACTCTGCAACTAAGCCACAGTTGTTACTGCCATTGTCATCTGGAAAACTCCTGCCTTGAGAACCACAATGGATTGCTACTGTCCCTAATTTCCCTGAAACCCAAAAATAAGGAGTGTTATGAGTGACCCCCAGAGAGACATTAAGTAAATTAGCCATGCAATTAAACACAGTCAGTACCCAAACATGGCTCAAGCATGATGACAATGACAGGAACTGCTGTGCTGTTCCTACCACTGAGTGATGAAGGTAGCCTTTATAATTCACAGTCCAATCTTCTCTTCAGCCAGACCTGCAAACCCCAGGCAGAATTCAGTCAGTAGCTTCCGAGTCAGACGGTTTAAGCTGTTTTACACATTGTAAGACACACCACATGTTCAAAGAGTTTGGTAACAGGTCTGCTCCGAGCCCTCAAGCCCATATCTCGCTGTAGCTGCACTCAACAATCCCGGTTATTCCAGCGCACAGGCTCTTCAGCTCTCCCGACTCTGAAGACATTTTGTGGAAAGCAGTCCCTCACTTGGGACACAGCACATGCCCACAGGGGCTGCTGAGTGAAGGACAGAGACAGACACACACTGACCAGTTTTAGCCCACTGCCACCTCTTACCACTGTTTTTTCCAAATCTCTCCCATCTAATCACTCCCAGAGGAAGGAGGTCACTGCTCATGATGAAGCAGCCTCAGGGAATTGGTGCTGGGAACTCCTGGTCTACTAAGAAGCACAGGTTGAAACCACATCCCTCACACTTTAACTGTGTGACAGAGTCAACCCATTTGGCGAAAAACAGTGACTGTACCTGTCACTGGGGACAACACAAATTTATCAGTGTGGTGCTAAAAAACACACCGTGCTGACCTGATCTGACTTACACAGTACTTAATCAGCAAGTGTAATCCTGACCCAGTATCCAGTGGTGCAGGTTTGTAGGGGAAAGCCTTCAGCAGGGGGAGGAGTGGGTGGAAATGGTGCAAAGCTGGAAGGTGCATCCCTCACCGAGGATGGAGGTCCCACCAGGGAGCACTGCCGTCCCACTGGCAGCAGCAGGGTTTGGCACTGGGGGAACAACTGGTGTAGCTATATCTGCTGACAAACGTCCCTTTCAAGCCCTGGGGAAGAGATCAAGTCAGAAATAGTCAAGAAAATACTGAAAACCTAAGTTACCTTAGTAACTTAGTTACCTTAGGTTTTTTGTAACTTAACACAGCATTTAAAACAAACACACAAGTTTCCACTGAACTTGTCATGGGGATTAGGGCACATTTTTTCCTCTAGCACCTCCATCAGAGCTGGATACTCTTTAATTTCATCTGTACTTTCTACTGCTTTCAGGCTGAATTCTTCTTCTTTGCCTCCATGAATTCCTCCCTCCACACTTTCATGCACGGGAGAAAATAAAACCAGCAGAGCAGGAAACTCCAAATAGAGTGGAAACAATTTAAGCCTACACAGGGGTTTCTATTAAAACCCCAGCTCAATAATTTAGTAGCTTGGCGTTAGCTCTGGAGTGTGTAAAAAGCAGACCACCACCAACCAGTAAGTTAAATCCAGTGCCTAAAAACATCCTACCTAATGAGACAGTGGCCTGGAGTGGCAGCCAGTCGGAAACTTGCCAAAAGCCAGCATGCCTCATTAAACTGAGCAGTGTGGGGACCCAGGCAGAAACCTCCTCTAGTTCTGAACTTCTCATCCACAGGCAGGTTCTCCATGCAGCCTCACAGCACTGCATAAGAGGCAAAGCTTGCACCTAACCAAGCTTTTAAACAAAAAACACCAAAGGCCCCCTTTTTTCTCCATTCCAATAACTTCCATCTGCTGACTTTTTAGGCTCCTTGTGTAAATACGTGTAACGTCCACTTACGGGTGAGGAACGCAGGAAGAAGCTGGAGCTGACCTGCAATAGGAAAGAGAAATGTGGAGTGGCTTCCAAGCTCTTTGCTACCTTTGGACACGTTCACAATGGCCATAAAAAAAAAGCTGCCTCACACAAAAGGAGAAAGGGTGGAAGTGAGTGTTTCCTACAGTTCCCCTACACCTAGCATTCGGGTTTGCCTGCTGAGGGAGCCACGACAGCTGCACAGCCAGCGACACAACGGGGAGGACTGAAGCTGAGTAATTGTGAGGAAAGGTCAATTTTTACTCAGACTGAACCTCGTATTTTTAACTATTAAAAAAAAAAAAAGGCAACTACATGTTAATTCCTGTAGATAAATGCCAATGTCTCTTTGCAGCTTTCCTCGAAGCAGGCCTAAGTACACACATCCTTCCTGCCTCCTCCCCCTCCAAGCAAGCTCCTCTAATCCCAGTCCTTGTGCTTTTACCTTTCCTGGCATGCAGTCCCATTCCTCTCACACTCAGACAGGTCCTTCATACTCTGAGGGTCAGCCCTATTTACCCACCACAGAGACTAAAACTAGCCTTTGGTAATCCATAATGAGCAGGGAACATGCATAACAATCCACTTAATTCCAATCTATTTAATTTCATACAGTACCAATAAAAGCATCTGGAGAAGGGGAGCTGAGGGGGAGTCTGCTCCCCTGCCTACAGCCAAGGCAGTCCATGCTTTTCAAGATACCCTTGAGGGTCAATGAGTGAATCTGCCTTCTCTGAACAGCTCCCATCAACTCCCACCTCCCTGACATGAAGCCCTGCCAAATTCACCTCTGCAAAATGTTCAAGTCTCAGCCTTCTTGTCATCCCTATCTGTGAAGCTCTCTGGGAAGGCCCAGCAAGACACTCCAGAGCTAGCTGGTCTTCCAGTATCCTACAACCATCTGAGAGTGTTTATTTGAGCCATTGTTTCTGCTCTGTTTGCTTCAAGCCTCCTATACAGCAGGCCACCAAGTTGCAGATAACTTCCCATCAGCTGGCCACTACTCTGAAGCCAGAAGATATGAGAGATGTGAAGCAGCACTGTCACCAGCCCCTTGACAACCTCACCATCAAGGTTTCATCATCACCTATCTGTCCTTCAAACATATTCACTGAGTAAGCTACAATCATCCCCAACTGAGAGGTACAGAAGAGTTTAGAGAGTTTAAAGGCTGGACCTGAAGCCTGTAAAGAAGCAACAGAACAAAGCAGAGGGCAGAGCCCAGCATGTGAGGTCAGAGTCTTAATTCTCATCAAAACAAGAAGTTCTGCCCAATCTGGACTTGAGAAAAAAAGATGGGTTCTCAGTGAAAGGGTGAGAGTTCCTAATGAATATTTTATTTCTTTCCAAAAATCATTCCTCCTGTTAAAGCAACAAACCTGAGGCTTGACATGCCCAAAGTAGAAGACAGGATTTTTCTTCCCTTCCTGTGTTGAAAAGCATGTTTCTTCATGTTTTTCTTTCAGAAGTATAGTATATATATATAGTATATATATATATACTTCTATAGTATATATAGATATACTACATATATATATACATACACTATAGTATATATATACACTTCTTTCAGAAGGATATAAAAATGAACAAGCCTAAAACTCACCTTCCAGCATGACATGATTTTTTAGTACAGCCAGTGATATTCACAATTTGTGCCTTTTTCTGTTTCAAAGCTCATGCCTCTTCTGTGGCTCAGCAGCAGTGGGACACTACTTCATGCCTCAGTTTCACATTTTAAACATGAAATGACATCTACAGGGTTTTTCTTTCTTCAAATAAAACAGATTAATAATTACTTCCAACAACAGGGCAAGATGGATATTTCCCCACTTAAATGGGCCCCAGCACAGCCTCTCCTGCTACACCATTCACACTGTCAACCCATAAGAGTCTCCTCTGCATTACACAGGCCCATTTGTAACACCACACTGGTGAAACACAAAAACAACTGAGGATACTGTCAGACATCTTGCACACCATAAATTCTTGCATTCATTTAAAAATTTTTCTTGGCCCACACTGCCAAGCAGAATAAAGACATTAATTTAGCCCACAAAAAGATTGAGGTCAGCACTGGCCACTGCCCAGTTCTTTTCAAGAGACCACACTGAAAGCAAACCAGTGCCCATATATATACATCTCTTACCTGGCATGGGTTTATAACACCTCTGCCATGGGCATATGAGTGTCCTGAGGTCTTGGAAACAGTGGTCACATCTTGTTAGTTCAGTGACTGAGAATGAAAATTGCAGCTAGACACATTTTCCCTGGGTGCAGAATATGGTTGCAGAAGTTCATTAAACTTGGAATCAAATTTCTAGAGAGGCACTGCTGACATACATAACAAACCAAATACATCTGAGGATGCTTGGACATTCTCAGCTTCTCCACCCCCTCCTAAAATGCCAATAAGGCAAGATGATGGGGGTTTTTTTCCCCCCACACTCAGCAACAGCCTTCAAGAGCTCAAGCAGACATCCATTTGTCCTGTGTCCTTCTGTCCTAACAATTTGCTCTCATCTCCCATTCCCTATGGCTGCTGTTCAAAAATACACAGCTATTAGGGTGCAATCCTCATTCCAGAAAGTTCATTTGCTGGAACAGCACTCGGAGCACAAACAGCCTTTCGTTCACATTGTCAGGTGCTTGACTGGGGTTAAATGAACTCCTTC